AGCGCACCTTTTTTAACAACCAAAAAGTGGCTGTTTCGTTGTCTGTTGAGGAAGTACAGACATTCCTCTCGTTGATAGCAGAGGAGCAGACCAGCGAGAGCTTGATGGAGCGACGCGGAATGAAAGTTTTTCAGGAGTCGCGGCAATAGAGGCGGCGCAACTATAACATGTGAATAATCCCACCCACTCTAAAGCGGTACTGAACTGCAGTGGAAACGCAAACCGAGCCGAGCCGAGCCGAGCCGTGCTGTACTGAGCCGAGTCGTACCACGCAGTGGAAAAGCGCCACAACATTAAAATACAGTCTATTTCTTGAAGATATCATTTTTTTTTGCCCCCAAGGCCCCCATAAGGAAATATTCCAGGGCCCCCACATGAGACGTTTGACCTCAGGAAAAAAGGACCTCTCCACAAACAGCAACACCAACTTCACACATTACTGACCAGTTAGACTTTATTTCTGGAGTATCTAAAACCGAAGTTCTTTATTGAGAATTAAGGTTTAGATGTTTTTTTTTTTTTTTCAACTTACCGTTTTGGTGAATAGTGTTTGCTTTAGTTGCCTCTTGACCCTTGGCTTTAATTTTAAGTTAAAATAAGTTTCTCTTTGGCTGTTACAATTGTGTTTATAAAGCACATATGTGATGGCAAAGAACTTATGGTAAAATAATTTCATGCATCTCTGGTTGCATTTGATCAAAATCTGTAGTTCTTTTATGAGTTTTATATTATTGCAGATCTACGATACTAGTATAACTATTTTTTTTTACTTATTCTTTTTTTTTTCCCCTTGGAAATGTGCCATGCTGTCTGAAATGAAGTTGTATTACAGTGAAATATTTGTTCCAATGCAATTAGGGTTTGGGATATAAAATATATTTTAGGGATATTATTTTTTGCAAACCATATAAAATATACTGCCAAGAAATAAATATAAAATAAAATCAACATTAGCAGCTTGCAATATATAACATATGTTGTAAGAGATACCATGGTATTACCTTCAAAACATAACTTTTATGATGATGAAATATTTGTCTCCATGAAATTAGATTTTGTTTTTAGTCTTTTTTTTCTAACCTAAAATACTCTGCCATCTTTTAATGTTAGATATCTCAGACGTTCATTGACAAATTCTCAATCTAAATTGATATCTCATGTTTTTTTTTGTAATGAAATATATAATCAATATATTATTTATAATATAACATATATCAGATAATTGGGCTTTTTACCCCAAAATGAATTTCTGACCTTGGTACCATGGAAATACCATGATTTTGGACAGGTAATACAGCAATATAACTGAATGTAACTTTGGAGTACCTTGTCAATACCATTTAAATATGGTAATCATTAAACATCATAGTATATATATCAAACTTTCTTGTATCTTTTTTTGCAAATGACAGCTTCCTCTGTAAGATACACAGTTGCTCAATTGTTTTCTGCAAATCACTTCATCTTAATGCATCCGCTTCGACATTACACAGCAAACAACAAAACAAATTAGTCAGAGGCTGAAATGATCCTGGGAGAGAGCTCAGATTTCAGCTGGAGTCAGCGCCGCGTTTAGACGTGGAATATCCTGGCGATCCAAACAGAAGGCCTTTAATTTCCCAACCAGAACAAACCAACCAACTTCTGGGCCTACACGAACAGCCTAACATCCCTAATTTCATTAAGAGAACGCCAGAAGACTAGACCGGCCTTTCAGGACGTGGGTGTCTGTGAGGGTCTGGGATCTATAAATAAATCACAGTATCTACAAAAGAACAGATTAGGGTGTCAATAAGAAAACCCAACAGGCATACCTTGTGATGGTTCCTCGATGGAGTGGAAGAATATATCCAATGAGAGTAATGTATGCGTGAAACTCCGGAAAAACGAAGAGGCCAAAAACAAGGTACACAGTCTCACTGTCACTGAGAGGGTGAAGCTACCATCTGAAATAGAGTGGCAGGACACACACACACACACACACACACACACACACAC